CCATAGTGTACCATAGTACGTACCATGGTACCTCCGATACTATAGTACATGCCGCGGTAGATAACTGGTACTCCATAGAGTGTTCAAATGGTATGAATTTTTTTTAGTTTAGTATTTTTCATTGCTGGTTTGAGTTGGTTTCCCTTTAGGTAACATATATATTTAAGGCTGCGAGGCCCCTGAGCAGTCAGTTATCAGCCCCTTCATTGCCCACATTGCAGAGGCACCCAGGAAATAGAAACTGCGACATAGTCCACATTCATAGTAACCATAGGGCTTCATGGAAATCAGGATTTCGAGGGCCGATAAAACAAATCAGTATCATCTGTCACCAGAGTATTTTTGGGCTCATTTGAAAGGCTAATAAGCATTCTTCTCAGAAAAATGCACTGCAGCTGTGCCTGTTCACGAAGCATACGGGACCCAAAATCCAACAATATGCCATTTTGAATTTAGACTGCTTTTGATTTGTCTTTTAATGTGAGAGCAGCACGGTTCTCTAACCACACTGAACTCAGGAAACAACATCTAGCATAGTTACACAAGATCCCAAAGACACAGCACTGCATTTTAGAATACTGCTGCTCTCAGGGAAAATAGATGCTTTCATCAGTAATGTGTCTTAAGTTTCAGAGAAGAAGTCAGAGGCAGTCATGAAGCCAACTCATGCCATACTTATGTAGCAAGATGTTTCCCTCCTAAAGTTTTAAACTGCTAATTTTCATGAATCTGCAACATTTCACTGAGAGGACAAACAGCTTTGTGGATTCAATGTGTAAAATGGCTCTTGAGTATTTCTGGCTCCGGAGGAAAGGATTCCTATCATGCCACTCCTCACAATCCCGCTGGATAACTTCCGCTGCTCCCTCTGTTCGTGGGCAGGGGTCCTAATCTCCGTGCCCAAAGCAAGAGGCTAAAAATGGAGAGGACTGCCAAGGGATCTGCCCAGATGTTGGCTTGCTGCAGCTGTGCACCTGCTCTGCAAGCTGGGAGATCGTACTGAGGGACAAACAACCAAACTCTGCTTTCCCAAAAACAGCCCCCTTCTTCTGACACCCCGCTTCCTCTCAGAGACAAACCCTCTTTGGACCACAGGAGTCCCGTTCAGAGCGCCAACCAGGCGCCACAGAGTGAGCTGGGGCTTGTGCTCGGGCCCATATTCATTGCTGGCAAGTTAGACACCCATTATAATCATCATCATCATCATCATCATCATCATCATCATCATCATCATCATCATCATCATCATCATCATCATCATCATCATCATCGTCCCCTTCAGGCCCTTTTGGCTGTGAGCAAAAACAAAACACGAGCAGCAGCCGTGTCTGATTACCTTTCATTGAGTCAATTCTGTAATAAAGACAAGGTGTTCATAGGAGGCCAAAAAAGTGGTACCTCCTGTATCCAATGAGCCATTGTTTTATAAAGATACGAGTCATGTTATCAACTCTGTGTGGCACAGCGGTGCTTTGTGCTCTGCATCATTATACTCTATATTAGCCTGAGTACAAATAAAAACGAAATAATCAATCAATCAATCAATCAATGTTTATTTATATAGCCCAATATCACAAATGTTACATTTGTCTCAGTGGACTTTACAGTTTGTACAAAATATCAGTATGACAATACGACACCCTCTGTCCTTAGACCCTCACATCGTACAAGGAAAAACTTCCGAAGAAAACCCACAGTTTAAAGGGAAAAATGGGAGAAACCTCAGGGAGAGCAACAGAGGAGGGATCCCTCTCCCAGGACGGACAGACGTGCAATAGATGCCGTGTGTAAATTGAAAAGATAATACATTTGCAACATAGGTAGTCCAAATGTTTGGAAATGCATGTGTGTATAATAGGAAGATGAATCCACGAGGATATCCATCCAGGACCTATGATCCAGGACCACAGCCACGACTCAAGGTCCAGGGCTCGCGATCCAGGACAGAGGAGCGCAGGATCATCCATGACTCCGGATCCCGGCGTATATAGACACCAAAAAGAAAGACATTTGGGGAAGCTGGGTTAATCGGAACATGAGAGTACACAGGTATAGACAGAGAGAAGGAAGAAGTAAGATGTCCCCCGACAACTAAGCCTATATCAGCAAAACTAGGGGCTGAATCTAATCAGCCCTAACTATAAGCTTATCAAAAAGGAAGGTCTTAAGCGCACTCTTAAAAACGGATAGGGTGTCTGCCGCCCGAACACAAACTGGAAGCTGATTCCACAAATGTGGAGCTTGATAAGAAAAGGCTCTGGCTCCCATTGTACTTTTAGAGACTCTAGGAACAACCAACAACCCTGCATTCTTGGAACGCAATGCCCTAGTAGGACAGTAGGGTATAATGAGTTATTTAAGGTAAGATGGCGCCTGCCCATTAAGGGCTTTGTAGGCGAGAAGAAGAATTTTAAATTATATCCTGTGTTCTATAGGGAGCCAGTGTAAGGCAGCCAGAACAGGAGTAATGTGGTCCCTTTTCCTAACTCTGGTTAGTACACGAGCTGCAGCATTTTGAATCAGCTGAAGCGACTTGACTGACTTCTTGGTACACCCTGATAATAAAGAGTTACAATAATCCAGCCTTGAAGTAACAAATGCATGGACTAGTTTCTCTGCATCGTTTTGAGGCAAGATATGCCTGATTTTTGCAATGTTACGTAGATGGAAGTAGGCGGTCCTTGAAATCGATTTTATGTGGGCGTTAAAGGATAAATCCTGATCAAATATAACACCAAGATTCCTTACAGTCTCACTGGAGGCCAAATTAATGCCATCCATAGTTAGTATATCCTTAGATAATTTGTTTCGTAGATTCTTCGGGCCAAGTACAATAACTTCAGTTTTGGTCGTGTTTAACATCAAAAAGTTTAAGGTCATCCACGTTTTAAGTCCTTAAGGCAGTCTTGAATTTTATTTAGATGATTAATTTCATCAGGCTTGATTGATAAATATAGTTGAGTATCATCCGCATAACAATGAAAGTTTACAGAATGATTCCTTATAATATTGCCTAACGGAAGCATATATAATGTGAACAAAATAGGTCCGAGCACTGAGCCCTGTGGCACTCCATGGCTAACTTTGGTTTGCGTGGAAGATTCATCATTGACACGTACAAACTGAGAGCGTTCAGATAGATAGGACCTAAACCAGTCTAAAGCAGTTCCCTGTATGCCAACTAAGTGCTCTAGTATTTGCAATAAGATATCATGGTCGATAGTATCAAATGCAGCACTGAGATCGAGCAAAACAAGAATAGAGACACGTCCCTTGTCAGAGGCTATTAGAATGTCATTTGTGACTTTAACCAGAGCTGTCTCTGTGCTATGATGTGTTCTAAAGCCAGACTGAAAAGCTTCAAATAAATCATTGTTTTTTAAGTAATCACACAACTGTTTTGCGACCGCTTTCTCAAGAATTTTTGAGAGGAACGGAAGATTGGAAATAGGTCTATAATTGGCTAAAACCTCTGAATCGAGGTTGTGCTTTTTAAGAAGCGGTTTTATCACTGCTACTTTGAATGATTGTGGAACATAGCCTGATAATAAAGACATATTCATAATATTTAATAAATAAGTGCTAATTAATGGAAAAACTTCCTTCAACAGCTTAGTTGGAATTGGGTCTAACATGCACGTTGATGGTTTAGAAGAGAGAATCATTGAATTTAATTGTTCAAGGTTTATGGCTGAAAAGCATTCTAGTTTACTATCTAGTGTAATATTAGAACTTACGTTACCGGGAGCTGTTGATAACACTATACTGGTCAAAGGCAAGAGGTCATTAATTTTGTTTCTAAGAGTAACAATTTTATCGTTAAAAAAGCACATAAAATCATTACTACTGAGTGCTATGGGAATAGAAGGCTCAATCGAGCTGTGGCTTTCTGTCAGCCTGGCTACAGTGCTGAAAATAAATCTTGCATTATTCTTATTCTCATCTATTAATGAAGAGTAGTAGGCTGCTCTCGCTTTACGCAGTGCTTTCTTATATTCATTGAGAGTAATATGCCAAATTAAACGAGATTCTTCAAGTTTAGTGGAACGCCATATCCTTTCAAGTTGTTTCGACTTTTGCTTTATTTTGCGGGTTTTGGCATTATGCCATGGAGCTAATCTATGTTGTTTTATTTTCTTCTTTTTCAAAGGCGTGATCAAATAAACGCGCGTTTTATACGCGTCAAAAACGCGCGTTTATTTGATCAAATAAACGCGCGTTTTTTTAATATGATAATGAGCCCCACCTTCTGTTTTGCATAGCCAGTACATTTAAAGTGTGTGCAACCAATCAGTGAAGAGTTAAGCCAGACTAAAGCAATCTGTTGATGAAAAGTTCCTGTAACCTACCCCATTGTGAGATTTAGATAGAAAATAATCACAATAATTAAATCTAAATTAAACATTTACAGTAAATAATATAAAGTATAAACATATCTACAGTCACAATTTCATTAATGTTATTCATACTTTCTGTTGTGTAGTTTATTAATGTTCCCGTGCTTTCAGTTTCCATCCAGTAATATAATCAGTAGAGGAAAAGTGTGTGTGTGTACAAGATAGATATTAACTTTACTCCACAATTTCCTACCGTATTATTAAATAAGTCTGCACAGCTGAGGGGACACCTGTAACTCAATTCATGTGATTTTTGGGTGATTTATTCAATAAAAAGCTCTGTATTTTCAGAGTTAATCAAATGACAGCCACATTGTTATCTAAAGTGTCTAAAACACGTTTAAGGACAGTCACAATTTCATTAATGTTATTCATACTTCTGTTGTGTAGTTTATTAATGTTCCCGTGCTTTCAGTTTCCATCCAGTAATATAATCAGTAGAGGAAAAGTGTGTGTGTACAAGATAGATATTAATTTTACTCCACAATTTCCTACCGTATTATTAAATAAGTCTGCTGAGGGGACACCTGTAACTCAATTCATGTGATTTTTGGGTGATTTATTCAATAAAAACCTCTGTATTTTCAGAGTTAAGCAAATGACAGCCACATTGTTATCTAAAGTGTCTCAAACACGTTTAAGGAGTGCAATGCAACTGAAAGGTACACTAATAAAAGTAAAACGTTGTACCAACAAAAAAATATTAGAGTAATCAATCACACGAAATATTTTACATTGACTCAATTTCTTCAGATCAATCTGTATATTTTAACACCAGAGCACATTTATTTGAATGAAAAACAAGTTGTTCACACAACCAGCTTTGGCCTCTGAGGCAGCCATTACCTGATCTTAGACATGTTAATAAGTACCACGGTTAAAATGCGGTAATATGTGGACCGCTTCCAAACATCAAACTCTTAGAAAAAAGACATGTCCTTATTATCCACTGCACACTTTTTTAAAGCAACACTGATAACGTGCGCCTGTGAGACATGTAATCTCTGAAAATGATTAGACATGCATAACTTCTACAGTGAAAATCGGTCATACTGTAAGTGCAACTTCTGAACACAACACTTTTTCGCAAATGTTTTACAATGCATAATTATTATAAAACCTTGGTTTTAGAAACCTTACCATGTAACAATGGTAACTGTGAGTGAGTGCAACAAAGTGTCTACCAGCTGGGTTCTCAGTCTATTCACTTTTGGGCTCATCTTTTTCCCCTCCATCAGGACTTTTTGCACAACTTCAAAAGTGGATTGCAGTTATTTCTGATATCTTAAGTTCAGTCAGACAACTCACGTGTTCCTTTAACATGTTTATTAGAAGCAGCATATAGTTGAGTTTGGCGACTAGGCTCGGGCATCATCACTCCATAGATATACATAGCACGATGAGTGATGATCAAATAACTAACCCCCGAGCCTACAGGTGGAAGCTGGGGTGGTGGTGGGGCAGCGAGCAGCAGCGACGTAGAGGTATCTGCAGCAATAGCAGCAGCAAGCAATGCATGGAGAGAGATCTGGCAGGTTAAATAGAGCGGCATATTAAGGAGACTCTGTTTGGTTGGTTGTAGAGTGGCAAGGGGGCGTTATGTATGAATGCAGCATAAGTGCTCGAGTTGACTGCCTGAACTAGCTCGCAGGCTTCGCCCCATTTCAGTGCGTATATGAGCCCGAAGAGCATGGCAAAAGCTGTCGCAACCGAGGGCAAGCCGCTGAGGACCTCTGTTCCTTCGATGAGAACCTTGACGTCTTTGGGTCGATGAAGCTGATCCTCTTTCCCAGTGTCAAAGGCTTCCATTGTTGCCTGCTCCAGTTCTCCAGCCTCAGCGTCCTGCAGATCATGCAAAAAAAAGGGGAATGGATGAGGACCACAGAGCGTAGTTCAACAGGCCTGAGGCGTCAGTTCAGTCGGCCCAAGAGGAAAGCTCAGGAGGTCATCACAAATGACTATCTTTCTAACCAAGCAGTTATTTGCATGCAGTACAAATATGTTTTCTTTTATGAACAAACTTCTTGTGAGTGAGTGGGAGGTCTTACCTGGAATTCTTTGATGAGATGGTCAACAGGTTCACCCAGGTAGATCATTAGAGATTTGAGGATGCATTCTCTTCTGATGGCGATGTCCACAGTCTGAGTAAGAACAGAGATATATATATATAATAAATCAAATGCAAATAAAGGAGGATTCAGCCACTGATCCCACAGATAAAAAACTCATTCATAGATACCTCATCCAAAACCTGCAAGATCCCGGTGGTCTTCTGTTTCACAACTCCTCCCCTGCTCCTGATGACCTGAGTGTTTGTCCAACTGCGCCAAGAACTTTGTCTCCAATGGAATTGTTGTTATGCGCATTAACTCAGCATTTACCTAGAAAATATAAGCAGCATAGAAAACAAAAAATACTGAGAATTTATAATACACATGTTTTTTATAAAGAGCCAATGGTTTGATTAAAAGTACTCCAAGTCAGCTTGTATGAATGTAACATTTAAATTAATTAATCCACATATTTATTGAAAACCACCACCAAATAAAGACACTAAGAGTAATAGATGTAAAGCTTATATTGTGATATATATTAAAAAATAAACGTCAACATATTTGCCTCGGCTGTCTATAGTTGTTAGTTAGTTGGGCCCTCAATTCTTCTCCACTACAGGCTTACAATCAAGGGTTTCATCAAAATAATTACCTCTTCCATGTGAAAAAGTGCAGGCCACCGCTCCAAGAGGCCTTCAATGCTTGGCCTCCGATGCACTATTTCTTGTCTTCAGTATCCAAACGCCTTCGCCATCTTTTCTTTTATTGATTGCCGGTTGTTTCTTTTCTGTTGTTCTGCCAAAAGGGAAATTGTCTCTTGCTCCATGCTTTCTGGAGTCTCACCAATCGGCAAGGATGGAAAATGGTTGGCATCAGCTCGCCTGGCTCTCTTTAAAATTCTTCGCAGGGTAGGACTCTTCTTGAGACTTGGTCTTCAACGAGTTCACAGCAAGCTCTGCAGATGATTTGCGCTTGGTGTCAGTCTAGATTGGTTCTTTGTGTACTCTGCATTTCCTCTCTGTAATTGACATTCTGTGTCATAGGAGAAGACCGGGATTGGAAACACTTTTGGCCACTGCTGTGTTCTTAATGATTCTGAGGAAGAGCCGCTAAGTAGTACTGTGTCATCTGTATTCACAGATCCAGAGGAGTCTTCACTGTACAGTCCACTTGTAGGGGTACTATTTAATGGTATCTCAACTGGGTACAAGACCACAGTTGTAAAATCGGGGTCTAATTCGACAACTTTGATAACTGTTAAATCTTTAATCGCATGTGTAGATGTAAGATTAACAAATGTGTTCCAAAAATCAGTGTCTTTATACTGTAGCCTTATGTAATCTTCCAATCCACATGAATTCTTGACCTCCTCAATGAGCTCTTCCATTGAGTTGGGAATCCCATTTCGAAGCTCCAGTCTGACGCTGTTGTGGTCGTTCAAGATGATCAGCAATCGAACAGGTGGTTCAATATCAGCCATGGCGCTCTAAGAGAAAGAGAGAAATAGAGATGTGAAGAGGGAATTAATTAAATGCAGGTGTACACTCAATACATTCTTTCTTTTCAAATTGCATTGTGTTGTACTTTACAAAGTATTACATACAAAGTTCATATATATATATATATATATATTAGGGCTGTCAAACGATTACATCACAGCTTAAAAATTAATTAATCATGATTAATCACCATTCGAACTATGTCCAAAATATGTCATTTATTTATGTATATTGTTGTGGGAATGGAAAGATAAATGAAAGAAGGCGGATATATCCATTTAACATACATGCATGTATGTTTATTATAACATTGTTCCGTGTGTCAAAATGAAAGACAGCCCACTAAAATTCGTTACTCAAAGCCTATACTTTATTTTAGGACAGTGGTCAACATTTTGGTGATGTAAAAATATATAACACGATGTTGTAAACTAAAATTACATTTACAATATCTTTATCAATTGAACTTGAAAATTAAAATATAAGTCGCTCGTCAATATGAAATTAACACACTTACTCTGTCCTTAAATTGACGTTTAACACCAGAATTTCTACTCTGGTAATAAATACAAATTCATAGTCTTATCTATTTATTTACAATAGAAAACACGCAGCCCGCCTGTTCATACTGTTTACAGGCCACCAAGCCTCAGTTAAGAAAAGGTAAAGTTAATATACTTAATGTTTGTCTGAGTATATTTACCTTTGAATCTGGCCATGACTCATGCTGGTAGACCGCTAACGCTAGCATGCTTTATTCAGACATTGACTTTAGCCTTTAGTCAGGGGCGGACTGGGACACAAATTCAGCCCGGGACGTTCAGACGCACCGGCCCACACACCGGGCCGCCGCCCACGCATGCGGGCCACCCTTGTAGCCTACAGATAAATGAATGATACATCTACTATGCTCATATACTGTATACTGTTATGGCTAGATTCCCCAGAGTCAAGCCATAACATAAAAGAGATGGACAACAGAAGTAAGGTGCAAAATGAAACCTTCCTTTAGTTAAGGTTTCTTAAAAATGTCTGTGTCATGTGTGAAGTGTGTCAAAGGGGCTGACTGTAGGAGTCAGTAACGTGAATGTACAATTGGGATTAAGGACAAAGTATGGGTATAGTCAAAAATGGTTGCCTGTGCCTGGCTGTAAACAAAAAGAAGTGCCAATGCACATGCAGCTCAGATATTCAATCAATGCCATGTGGTCTAACCAACAAATGATTCTAATAGTCATTATGAGAGCACTTGTCCAGTATTAAATAACCAACTTCAAGGAATACAATATCATGCACAGTAATGTCAATCACTAAAATGAATGCAATAGTGAATTGGCCACACATCTCTGTGTCCTTATTATGCAATATTAATATTATTGAATATTAATATTATTTAAAATTATAATATTAATATTATATAATTTAACTTGGAATATCATGAGCATATGACTCTATCCTAATGCATCTAACTGTATGCCCAATATAATAGTCTGGCCAGCCCTGCAGCCCGTTCTAGGTTCTGATTGGCTCTCTAGGTTAGCATTCTAGCTTCTGACTGGCTGTCCAGGTTGTCAATCACAGCCGTGGGCATATTATACTAGTCGTAACATCGCTAAACTTTTTTCTTGACGGTTTTCTCAGTCAACTAATGCTATTGCTAACAGTAACATAAATTAACACAGCCCTGCACACTGCACCTGCTGTCATTATATGCCGGGTCTGTGGTTCATCATCTTCCTTCTCATTCTCCTCCTTATTACTGCGACTGGGAGCGGGAGCCCTTCTACTAAACAGCTCTGTGATTTTCGAAAATGTTCCAGCATCTTCGTGTAGCAATTTTGTTTTTTTCATTCTGGCTTTTTCAGCCCCACCCTTTCTTTTTTTACTGTTCTCCATCTTGTCTTTCTCAATTTCGCTAGCTAACTTACTGATTAATCATCAAACGAAGCTAGGGAGCTTGTCTGATGAGTGGACCTCTGACGCGGGCCTCGCCCTCTGAAGAGACGACTCATCTCTCCCGGCCCAACCCCTTCAGTTCATCTATTACCCTACTTTCGAAAACATAAGATTGACAAGTTTGACAACCTATCAATAGCCCCGTTTACATGGAATGCTTTTCCGATCGTATCCGATCACTAAATAAAGCGATCCACGTTCACTACATGGGCCAAGCATTAAGCTGATTACAATTTCACCTGTACCGAAGTGGGCCGATCGGAGTGGGGCAGTGGGCCGCGTCGATTGGTCCGACCGGCCCACTTCGGTACCGGGCTACCGGCCCATCGGGATTCGTCCCGAACGTCCCGATGGCCAGTCCGCCCCTGCCTGTAGTCGAATTGGAGTCATGGGTGGGTAGTGTTTTTACAGTCCACTAGTTCGGTTAAGAACATTTAACGTTACAGTTAATGTTGTGTTGAGAAATATATGCTATGCTGAATGTTCTTCACTGGATAATGCGTGGTCTGAATAAAGCATGCTAAACGTTAGCGTATGCTAAACATTAGCACAAGATAAACGTTAGCGCATGCTAAACATTAGCGCAAGCTTTTACGGCCTACTCAGTCAGTCACGGCCAGACACACGTAGGCTAACGTTTCTCATAAATAACGTTACATTTTCTTAAATGAGCTACCGGACTGTAGTAACGTTAGCCACCCATAAATCCAAGCGGGCTAAAGGCTAATGTCTGAATAAAGCATGCTAGCGTTAATAAGGCAGTGTTTCTCAAACTTTTTCATTCCAAGGACCACTTAACCAATAAAAAAACACTCGCGGACCACCTAACTCCACAAATATCAAAAAACACATCGTTTTTCTAGAACAGATTACAAATCGCCTGAAAATGGTACAAACAAGTGGCAACATGTGTGATGAAGGTGTTGCGCTGGGCTATATCATGCAATCGAAAGTGAAACTTAACCTCGCTCCATTGCGGAGATATTCCCGCGAGAGTGCGGAAAACTTAAATGTATTTATTTATTTCAAATGTGAAATGTTACCAATATACTCGCGGACCACTAGGGGGCGCTCACGGACCACCAGTGGTCCGCGGACCACACTTTGAGAAGCACTGTAAGGGCTATCAACAGCCGGTAAGACCCACAGCCAGAGTCAACGGAAGATATACTCAGACAAGCGTTAACGTTTCGGTATGTGAAATTATATTAATATATATATATATATATATTAACATTAGTTTATCCTTACCAGTATCACATGTGCTCGTTTTCCAAGTGTCAAAGACTGGATAGAGGCGGATGAAGACTGCTGGTTACGACGATTACCTCTGTCACTACCATGGTCACTACCGATCTGCCCACATGATCTGCACCCCCTGCCCGATCTGTACTGCGCATGTGCGAGATGGTCTGCTACATACGGCAACCCAAATGGGACACTTGACACAGTGGTCTTTGGCAAAGCAGAAAAAGAACACCCGACAATATTAATCTGAACGAGGGAGATTAGTTAGTTAGATTAGTTATTGTTATTACAACGTGACTTCATATTATAACGTGACTTCTCTATTATTTAACAACTATTTTTATTGGGTTCTTTCATTTTGGGTTAAGTAGATTGTCAGAATAAGTGAGAAATGGATGTAACTTCTGTTAGACTATCATACTGAATAAATATGTACTGTGAATGTATGCAAAAATATATGGCATTAATAATGTATAATCTAATTACATTAACTGTGAATGTTTCATTTTATTTAAAATGAAATAAAATTACATGAAAAAGTTGATTCAAGAACAAATCTGTTATTAGATCAGTACTTTTCAACGGTGTGGCCTGGCTTGGTTGAAAGCCCACTCACCACGACAAGGTGCAGGCCTGTGGAACTGCCTGAAACATAAACATGTTTTAAATATATGAGACCTACGGTATTCATAATTACTTTACAACATGCATAGTGTAACATGGCTACAACCCCTCCTTGGGATGTTTACAATAAAGAGACAAGAAGCCCATTCCAATATTGAAGAAATTGCTACATACCTCAAACGCCGTCTCACTGTGCGCAGAGATACTTTTAATATCTGCGCCATCTTTGTAGCTGTAAAACCACAGCTCCTCAAAAAAGAGAGTTGCTCCCTCGAAATGCTGTATTGTGGGGGACCTCGGCCACCCAACAGAACGAGTGGGGCGTGGTAGCCAGAATGACCTGCAACAACAGCAAAAGATTAGATTACATTTATTGTCATTGTTGCATTTCTGTCGTTGTGCCGGAAACCCACACTTTAGTGTCATTGCCCAGCCAAAAGTTACGATGAAAAGGAAATGCAGTTTGGCATTAAACCAGTGGACATGCAACACACTATAGTTGTAGTATACAGTATGAACAAAAACATAAAATGTGGATGGGGATATATCCAGTCTCTGATAGTGTGACGTTATTATGACAGTGCTCTGTTTGATTCTGAAACTAAGGGCTAAGACATGAGGATAGGAGTCGAGGAGGGGAATTAGTGAAATGAGAAAGGGCCAGAGACTCCCCCCTCTGGCGCACTTTCAATTTCCTCATTCCCACGTTTGATGATACGTGGTATGTGTTCTACAATGACAGCTGGCCAGACTTCCCACGATAGGGGAGGGGGAATAGCATCTAGTGCAGCAGGAGATAAAGGTGGAATTTGGAGTCAAGTTTTAAGGTTTCAGTGGACAACTCCAGACTCAGCGTCTCACCAGAATGTGCTAATTAATAGCTGGCAACTACAGATTAAAAACTTTTTGTATTGGTATTACCGATATTTTAATACAAAATAATTACTTTAACCCTCCTGTTGTGTTCGGGTCAAATCTGACCGATTTACTACTTTCATCAATTATAACTTTTTAGTTTTACATTCGATTGCATTAAGGCGTTATGATATCCTTCACAGTAGACATTTGAATACAATTGCTGATCACCACTTTCATTGAATTTTGGATGATTTACTCAAAAATGACAGCCATAAGGAAAAGGAATTAGTAACCATCCGGATCAGATAAAACACACACCCCCACCCCTTATGTGCCCATCCCCCCCATGTGAATCACACCTGGCACACGCAACAATTTGATACATTTCCTGCTCTTATGTGCCCATCCCCTTAGATGTATATTCTTTGTATATTTACTGCAGTTTTTCATGTATACCACCAGTAGTCTGATACAATATCTACAGTTTGAAAGGGTGTTACATTAAATGTGGGGATGATTAATGGTTTTTGTGTTCATGTAATAGCAGTTAAAACAGGACCTGTCACGAACACCAAAGTAACATCACATCGACCTACCTTGTTGTGCGGTTGTGGTAGGCCAAGATCTCCGGACTTCATCTATATATTCCCGAAGGTCCTGAAGTAAAAGATCTGTATGGACGTTAATTAGCCTGCCCCGTGACCACTCGATGCTCCTCTCCATTGTTTCTAACCTGCCAGTAAACGGTTTGGTGAAATAGGGGAGAAGACAGAATTTGTAAGTGTGAAAGATCTCACAGCCCCTCAGTAAGTTACATGCAAAAACAAACTGCATTCCTTTGTGTTCGATAGTAGCGATAGGCTGGGCCCTTATCTCACTATTGTGGATTGTAACACAGCATGACCATCATCTGTTTGGAGAAGTCTTGTGCAGTCATTTATTGTCCTTTTGCAATGCAAGATGAAGTTTCTCGTGGACATTTTTCGACGAGTCTACTGTTTCTACAACTAAGATTCTTCTTCTGCCTTCTGCCTTGTGCCCAGGGCGGCCCTCGGCATAGGCAATATAGGCGAATGCTAAGGGCGCATAGGGGGCGCCGAAAAATAAATAAATTAGAAATTTAAAAAAAAACTTTTTTTATTTCATAACAACACAATTTCCCGATTTTGGATCAACAAAGTACATCTTATTATCTTATACTAACAGAACTACGCCTATATTGCGTACAGCGCCCATAAACTATGGCACACCCCCCCCCCCAAATCAAGTTGAACTGCCCCAGTCCCAGTAAAAACCAGAGGTTTATGTGAAATTGTTCTTTTTTTAAAATAAGGGTTTTAGTGTGCAATTATAGGTTTTAATTTTGTATTTGTATTCATTTAAAATAAATCAAACTCCCAAAAAAACGTACACAGCTTCTGTGTGCTTTTATTAACATTGGAATTTACTGTGTAAGCAGCCGCGGGGGGCGAGCTTTAGAGAGCTCTCTCCTGAAAGACTGAGAGGCTCTGATAACCTCAGCTCAGTGAGGTATAGGCACACCTTTATATGATCATTATAGTTATAAAAAAATAAGAGAATAGGTGAAAAACAGGTATAAAATACTGACAGTACAAATAGGTTGTTATTAATAAACAAGAATACAGTTTGAAAGTGGAGTGATTTGTAAAATATCCATAAAGAAAAAGAAAATCTGCTTACAGTTCTGTTTCATATGGATGTTGAGAGACGTATCCATAGATCTCCTAATGTTGCTCTCAAAGTGTACCAGATTGATGCTTTTAACTTCAATATTAAAAAAAAAGTCTTCCCGGGGGTGCATGCCCCCGGACCCCACTAGAGGATGTGAGGTCCCCCCCCCACTTAAATCATGTTCAAATGGATAGGAAACTAAATACAGTTGCACACATCTTGTGTCAATATCTTTGTTTTGGTGGTCATGCCACAACCGTGCACACGCGAGTCATAGTGAGTGTCTGCATTTTGGGGGGGGGGGGGGCGCCAGCTAAAATATTGCCTAGGGCGGAAAATTGGTCAGGGCCGGCCCTGCCCTGCCCCGCCCATTTCTTTAGCTTCCGGTTTAGTAGACAACGAAAAAAGTAAACAATTAATTATATTTAGCCTTTAGGAACAGTGCTTTGTAATAACTCTCAGTACCAGATTAATTACCTAACCTAAACACATTTACTACCCAATAGCATAGTTCCATCCCCTGAAGACAAGGAATGTGTCATAGTAGAAATGTGCAGCCCAATGAAAGAAGGAAGCATAAAGCTTGTACATTTCTATAACCCGTGTAAAAATCTTCACATTGAAACTTTACAGACAATAGCAGGGACGAGTCATAGAAGGGAAGTATGGTGTGGTGATTTTAATGCTCACAACAGCCTATGCGGAAGCAGTCAAACAGACAGTAATGGTGATGTTAGAGGAAAGATCATTGTTTTGCCTTAATGATGGACAAAAAACAAGAATAGATGTGAATAGGGGGACACAATCATGTTTGGACCTCACACTTGTGACGGATAGTTTAGTTAAATCGTGTGAATGGAATGTAAACGTGACTATACCATAGGAAGTGATCATTACCCAGTATTCTCTATCATCAACACAAATAGGAAGTGAGTATATTTTCCAGGTGGTGCTTTGGTAAAGCAGACTGGGAGAAATGTAGAATTCGCTGTAAGGAGTCAGCACAATTGTTAGCATTAGAAGGAAGTATAGAGGAGTGCTCAAATCAAATCACAATGCACATTAAAGAAGCAGCAAATATAATTATACCAAAAAGAACAACCGAGGGTATAGGAAGAAAGTGGTGCCGTGGTGGAATGAGGAATGTAGCAGAGCTATTAAAGAACAAAACAAGGTATTCAGTAACTACAGACATAGCATTAACATCACACTTGTGTAAATGGATGGAGAAGATGACATAGACATGTCTTAGAACAAAGAGGGTTGCTGAGTAATTTCCAGACTGGTTTTCGCAAAGGAAGATCCACAATGCTTTGGTTAGAGTGATCAATGAGGTGGGAATACAGTGTGAAGACACTGAAAATGAAAGAGGTTATGGCAATAGTATATTTTGACATTGATAAAGCTTATGACTCTATGTGGAGGGATGGGTTACTCATCAAATTAAGTGACAGGTGACAGTAACAGTGACAGTAACAGGATCTTGGCTCAGACAGGAAATTCAGAGTTCAAGTAGGGGCAGAGGTTTCGAAAGACTTCAATATAGAAAATGGTATTCCCCAAAGGAGTTCAATTAGCCTGATATTATTTAACATTATGATAAATGACATATTGACTAAGTTGGACGGATGCATCAAATCTGCGTTGTATGCAGATGACGGGGACATATGGACAAGGGGAAGAAATGTTCCAGAAGTGGTCATACAACTGGGGTTTCAAACTGTCAGCAAGCACATCTTGCTTCATGACATTTACAAATAAACGCAAGATGGAGACTGAGAAGCTTACATCATATGGAAAGCCGATGAATGAGGTCAATGCATTTAAATATCTGGGGCTATGGTTAGATAGTAAATGTACATGGAAAAACCATATTAAACATTTGGAAACAAAATCCCAAAAAGTTTTGAACCTATTAAGAGCAGTGGCTGGATGAGACTGGGGGCAGACAAACAGGCACTAATTGACATCTATAGGGCAATTATGAGGACAACTCTGGATTACGGGTGTATAATATATATGCAGCAGCAGCAAAAACGTCATTACTAAAAATGGATAGATTACAATATAAAGCATTACGGTTGTGTATAGGTGCAATCAACAATTAATCAATCATTATCACAATTACCTCAAAATATAGCCAACACAGATAGATAGATTCAACTTATTGTCATTACACAGTACAGGTACCGTGTAACGAAACGGTTTCTCTGCATTTGACCCATCCTAGTGTTAGGAGCAGTGGGCTGCCATCAAGGGCGCCGGAAGCGGGGGGGGGGGGGCAGGGGGCCATTGGCCCCCCCACTTTACGGCCCTGCCCCACATTTTCGCAGCAGCGGATGCCGCGGAACCCTGTACACATCCCGTTTCAATAATTCCCCTCTACTCTAAAGTCGCATCTAAAAAGAACGCCATCTGATCTAGCTGTGTATATTTTGTTATTGTTGATTGTTATATTCAATCTCATTAGCTACAGGCATTTTTGAAGCTTGTAAAGGGAAGAACACAGCTCGCCTCTCACTCGCCACTCTGCTCTTCGAAAGCGCCGCTTCCCCTCCCTCCGCTGACATTATGAATGTAAGGCATAGTAATCATAGATAACACCGCAGGGTCCGTTACAGTTTGTTTTCATCTGATTTCAAATAAACAAAGTCTTGGCTTTCAGAATATTAAACTTGTTTCGGCAAATTCAGATGATAAATACAGTTTTGAAGCTTTTAACGGCATAATTACAAGCGGAGAACGGAGTAATTTGACGTCACAGCAAGCATAACAACAGCCGGTGTTTCTCCTGAAAGTTTTCCCCGGGAAACAAACGCAAAAATACACAAACACACACACGTGGTATACACGCACACACTCGCGAGCTCCCCCCAGACCAGTAATCCAAACGAAAATATCTTCCCTCCGTACTACTTTGATCATTTGCTCCGCTAATAATCAATCAGATCGATCCAGAGAAGAGGAAACTTTAAAGTCCTTTTCCTCAAAATGATGACTCGGTGACAGTCATTATATAATGTGATATATTTTGCTTAATATAGTACAAAAACAATCCTGATATCATTAGAAAGCTAGGAATCTCCTCTTTCCAACAGTGTATAGGCTACAACTCAAAATGTGTGTTCGGATCAATGCGACTGATTTCGATGGAGCAGGTCACTTTGCATTAGGTAAAATACAGCAGGCAGACATAACAGGAAGAATATGTACATTTTAATCCAATCAAATAGGACATTGTCACACCATTCAAATGTATCCATGTACATTACAACCAATAACAAAGATTAGATGTGTTTATTTGTTACGTTGTTTACGTTATGTGTTACGTTGTTCAGTATGTGTCAGCCGTTAACCTAGATAGATAAACTTGCAAACATGTCAGAAGAACCGGCGCATAAGAAAACAAAATACAGTCAAACTAAGCTGAAATTCAACAACTTGAATGTCACATCGCTGACATCCACAACTCCGGAGCCCGGTCCTTCAACCATAGAACCAGCGCAGCCAGATGAACCCCACGCAGCAGCTCTGCGGCCGCAGAGGCTGTCAAAACCGCCGCCGCCGGCATCGTTGAACCGAAACAGGCTGGTTCCGACTGCATGGAGGTTTGTTGTCGGGACATTGAGACGGGCCAATAAAAGCTTATTTGGGCAAAGAGAAGGTACTTCAATGCAGAATGTTACAAAAACAGAGAGTGGTTAATTATTTGCAAAACCACTAAACGAGCCTTCTGTGAAATATGCAGATGTGATGCTGTCAAACGGCTTGTAACTTTCTCCAAATGTGGAGATGACAGCTTTGTAAATACCGAGTTAATAACTGGAACTTTTCACAGAGCTTACTTCAGTCAAACACCAGTCAACATTCAGCTTGTCAAACAAGAGCGTAGCAGGAAAAAAGAAGAGATGGAATGAGCAACTGCGCTGTCATATGTGTGGGCTGGTCTGTATAGTTTAATGTACAGGAAAGGAGTGAGCAGAGGGTTGAGTTGTCCATTCTTGTTCTGTTTTCTCTGACTATCTTCCTCCTGAAGA